AGTTATTCCATTATGGGGCCAATGATATATTTCCGCGAAGTCTTTATAATTTGATTTAGTTCACTTGTTTTAGCAACTGTGAATCACTGCACAGCTTTTTTTGTTTTGGTTTTCACTTAAGTTTTACATTTAACAGTCGTAAATGATGTAATGGATAATAGATTTTAAAGTGGGAAAGTCGGTATTAATTAGAATTTCGCCTAAACTGTGTTCACCACTTGCAGGCCCCCCAGTGGCACAGCGGCTTTACAACGCTAGAAATCCGGTTTCGGTACCCGTGGTGGGCAGAGCACAGATAGCCCATTGTGTAGCTTTGTGCATAACTACAAACAACAACAACCACTTGCACGACTGTGATATTTCGTAAAAAGTCAAATAAGAAGTCAAATATTCAGCACAAAAAAAGTTCTATATAACTGTTTGGAGATTGTAATTTATCTTACGGCTATAAACTTGTACAGTAGCACAGCGGTATGTCTGCGGACTTACAACGCTATAATCCAGGTTTCGATACCCGTGGTGGTAGAGCACAGATAGCCCATTGTGCTTAATTAAAAACAAACAAACTTGTAACGGCTTCATAAAATATTAACTTTTTTCTATAGAAATACTATTATTATCAAAATCTATATATCCCCCCCCCAAAAAAAAATTTTTTTTATTCTCAAACATTATGTTTAATCACTTCCGTGAATCTTAAATCGGAAATCAAAGGTTATTAAACAAAAATGTAGCAATGAACGAAATCTATGTTGTTGATGGGTGGATCACTAACATACGTTAATCGTTGGTTCAATTGTAATTAGAACATTTAATTATCAGCCTGCGTATCACTTCACATCAAGTAATCAAAGTTTTTAAAACATTTTTTCATAAATATATTTCATGGAAGGCCCACTGACACGTATTCCTGTTATTTCTCTACGTTAATTATTATCTACAGAAATACTGTTATTACCAAAAACTGCACCCCCCCCCAAACAAAAATAAAAAAATTTTCTTCCTGTAACATTATGTATAATTAATTCATAAGTTCTAACAACAAGAAAGGTTATCAAATAAAATTAGAGCAGTGAATGATACGTTATTTTTGGAATACCAAGAGCTATACTCTCTAGAGTGCTTAGAAGGTGAGTGAATACATCTGTACTTCGAAAGTGAGAGTTACACCATCTTTTCACACTACTTGCGATGAACGTTACTTCTGTGACATGAAGCTGGATAGTTACAAAACAGCATTAGCACTTCCTCCTTCCTCGGATAGATGAGTGCCCAATCTAATGCTTCTGGATTTCTGGACAGGAAAGTTTATTTTATATGTGGACTCCATCACCATGTTACATGGCATTGGAGCACTAGACCCAGTTTGTAGTAACCAAAGAATACCACTTGTGTAACGGAGGTACTGTAATTTACTCAACTACATACACTTATTTGGTCTAGTGTTCCTGAGCTCGAACTAGCTAACATGGGATAACTCTGGCAGAATATCAATTCATTGGTTGTATAGGCAGAACTCAAGATAATTTCCACAATACGTCCATCCTGATTATGTCAATGCCAGAACCGAGGGTAGAGATGAATATATTCATAGTGTGAGTGACATTTAGATATGGTCTGAGATTGGCATCTCCACGTTAGTTATCTGTAGCTTTACTGGCAGCATTTATCACTTGTTGTTTGTTCTCCTGGACTTCCTGAGCTGTTGGTCAAAACTGATAGCTTTTCCAACGTTGCCGCTTGGCACAATATTGGTACAGTTGTTGTACTGAACCTTCTGAGCTGAAATCGATTGCCTGATCTACTTTGCTAATCAGCAAAGTGCAGGTGGTTCACTCAAAGTTATCCAACATACCACATCCAAAGAATAAGCTTTATTCCTCTCTTTCAGGACGTTTTATGTACAGTAGCATCAATGGTATAGGCTGCATCATGAAAACCGGGGGATTATCGGGTTAACCTTGCCTGTTCACTGGAAACCAGTGTGGTTGCATCACACTGCCAGGATGTGTGGGTGGCTGGGTAATCATCAGCACAGCTCGAGCTCAGCCTAGTGAAGGTGCCTGGGTAGGATGGTCCAATCAGTGTAAAGACACAACTTCACACCTTTTCATAAAGAAAGGTTGAAGATATCTCTCACACTGAGGTGATGCCTCATTGTTTTGCCTGGAAGTCCTCCAGTGCACTTATCCACCAAGAGGTCTTTTTAGTCTGCATAAATTATTCCAGAGTATGACTTACTGTGCAGATGTAAGTCGCCAGACTCTCAGTGGTGCCTCTCTTCAGAGTCTTGATCTCAGCTCAGTGGATTGCTAAATTTCCCGCTAGCTCAAACTGTCAGAGCTACTTAGCCACGTCTATATCCCAGTCTTCTAGTTGCACCTCACTTAGGTGATCGATGGAGTCTAAGCCTGGATCATTCAGGTTAAAGGTAAGGTGTTGTACTTCCTGCTCCTGAAAACAGCTATGCAAAACAGTTACCCGACTGAAATGCTTCAGGAAATGCTCTAGACCTTCTTATGCCACACCTTCTTTGCCTCATACACAGAGATTTGTGGTGTGACTAAAGCCTCTCCCTCATGGATTTTTGGCCAATACTTTACTGAGACACTGCTGACGTCGCAGGTATGGTGCTGTAAGAATACTCAGGCACCCTGGCCTCAGACGAATTGTCGGCTCCTGACCCAGAGCAACACAGCAAAGACTTGGTCCCAGTAATTTGTTTCTCAGCTCTGCATGATCCCAGCTTTTAGAGGTTCTCGGCTGCCCCATGGCAGTCTTCACTAGTTGGTGTCCACTGTCCCACCTGCCAGAAAAATATCTTTGATTGGCGGAATGTGTCTACCAGCAGCACTTTCAGTCTCTTTCAGCTGGTCTTGTTGGGTCTTAACCAGAGGCTGGATAATGTTACTCTGGCAGTCGATAGCCTGGAAGTCCTGTTCAGATGGTCTCAGACTTACCAAATGCCTTTCCATCTTGGCAACCCTCATTCTATCATTTTAGGTGTAACAGACACCAGCTAATCTTCCTGAGTACTTTACATGTGACACCATATGGTTTCACACTCGCCATTCCACCTCGGTGATATCTGATCTGCAATTCTGGATGCATCAGACATTGGCAGGTCTTCTTGAGTCTGCTGCTGCAGAGATTGGCAAAAGTCCAACGTCCTGGAGAGGACTTCTAGACTCAATAACTCTCTCATATAACTATCTCTCATCACCTTCTTTGTGCTATTTTTAGTTGAAACCAATTTCCTTAAAGAGTAAATTAGATAGGTCTACTGTGTAATGGGAGGTTCGGCAAGATATATTATAGAATAGTACTGAGTTCTGCTAAAACTAATTGGGTCTGTGCAAAGAAATAAATGGATTGAACAGGATGTATAATATACAATGAAACTATCTTTATATAGACAACACAAAACAATAACGTGTACATCACCTTTAAACGACAGTCAGTAGCTTCTTCTGGAGTAGTTAGTGGTTTGGTCAAACTGGCTACACTCCCCCAAGACTTAATTCTAAGCTGAACGACTGATTCAAGATGATCTTGTAGACTGACTAAATCTCATCTGTAACGTCAAAGAGACTAGTGCTAACCACATTGCTAGTCATTCCCATTCAAACGTAAGAGAAGGCATGACGTCGATATATCATCTATCATTGGAGGACACTGCTGTCGATCTTCATGCACAAAGTGCAGTTTTACAGCTATACCCATATAGATAAACCAGGTGTTATGTCCAAGAAACGAGAAAAAACAAACAAATGTAGCTAGAGCAAAATTAACTTAACGACTTTCCAGGCCACATATTATGCAAAAACTGTACATACCTAGAATTATTTTTAAAAATTTCGAAATATTTTACATTAAAATAAGGTAGAAAACACATGGTATGTCTGAATACCGTACTATATGTGTGTGTACAAACAACATCATTTGAGTGTATTGGTTTTTCTCCAGCACAGATAGCTCATTGTGTAGCTTTGTGCTTAACAATAACAACAACCAACTAGCCAACAACGTTTTTTTTCTCCGTGTTTTAATAAGGTATCCTTAAAAAGGTGATCAAAAATGATTCATATTTTACATACGTATGGCTTTTTGTTATTGCACAAAACATATCAAACTGTTGCCTGCGTAACTTCACAATAAAATTCATTACATGAAAGACCACTTAATGTATTCACTTAAACCTGATTTTTGGTTTCAACAATACTTTAGAAAGAGGATAACAATTCTACACAACCTTTGTGTGTGTTGTGTGAAAAAATTATGATTTTAAGCATCGTAATAACAAGAATAGATGGTGCTTTTATATAACAAAACCTGGATTCTATCACTATTTTATTAAGACAAGTTTCACAGAACTTGGAATTAAATAGCGCTGACGTAGTTTTGTGTGTTTCTTTCACGCTTGACACTTATTCATCACAGCCGGATTTACTGCTTTTTAATATTTTAACAACAAGAAGATATAATCAAAACATGTCTGCACAACTTTGATATAATGTATATTACAAGACATCAATTATAACTAAGGTTCATGGGTGCTATAATAAATACATTAGACTACAATGTATTATATTACATGACAAATATTATAATATAATTTAAATTCAATGCAGGTGTTATAGGTTGGTGTGTATACTTTTCTCATTTATAATAAGTTATTTGCTAATTATAATATAGTGTATTATAATGAAATTTATGTAATCCTTGCAAGGCTCCTTTCTCAAGATCACCTTTATTTAAACATGACCTGGCGCAGTTCTAATATATAAACTGTGAAGATAAAGGAAGTATTGTGTATGAAAAGCAAATAAATAGTACAGGCAATTCATGTATGTTAGGAGGTTTCCTATATATATTATAATTTATGAACGTTCATGACCAGGTATGATAAAATGATTCAAATAAACTTTTTTAATTAAGACCTTTATCATAGCATTTGTTTTTCCTTTTCGCAACTTAATAAAGTTTCTACTGTATTTCAGCAGAAGCCAACTAAACGGCCCGCCGAAAGTCTCGCATCTTCATTTAAACAGGGGGATATTGGAGATCCATCTGAACGACAAGCCAAGTTAGCTTGCCACAGCAGCACACAAAATCAAGGACAGCGAGATATTCATAGTCAGTCAACCATTCCAAGTTTTTCCGTCCAAATTGTCCAGCAGTTCTCCAGCTCAAATTCTGCTCACGCTCAACACTCCCAAACTATTCAAACTAATGTAACTGTCAAGGCTGTCCATCCAGAATCTCCTATAACTTCAGTATCTAGTAGTCAGTGTGAAAGGCTTCAGGATACTACAGTTTCTTCAGGAACGAATATTGAGTGTAAGCAGGAGAAAGGAGGAGAATTAAACCAATGCAGCAATATTGGACTGAGCGCATGCAACAACCACAATCCTACTAGTGGAAGTAACTCAGGAGGGCAAGAACGTTTCTCAGACGCCTTCTCTAGCTTGGGATTCCCCGAGGATTCCAGTAGTGACGTTATTCATCCCGATATCTTGAAGGACTTAATCGATGACGTATTAACAACAGGAAACCCATCAGACCTGATGAAAGACTTCAATTTTGATGACAGTGGTGGAAGTGACAGGGAACAAGACGAGGAACTCAAAGGTAGTAGTGATCACATGCTAGATATTGCTGGAAAACCTCATAATACGCCACCACCCCAGAGCCAATTCTCCAATGCCCAGAATGCCTTTTCCACCATGCAAGCACAAGGTAGTGTCTCTCGATTCAGTCCTGGAACAAGAGGTTCACCTATGGGGAATTCGGCAACTGTTTCTGTAACTCCTACTACCACATTTCAAAACAGTCATTTATCAAATTACACTCATTCTGGAGGATTCAGCGTAAGTCCTACTCTAGGGCTGGACTTTAAATTGGGCGAGCCCAGTCCAGCTGCTCAAACATTGAAACAAATGGCCGAGCAACACCAGAGTATGCAGCAAAAACAACAAATAGGATTGAACATGGGCTCCCCTCACTCACGTTCCCCATTCACCAATGAAAATTTCACAGAATCCATGACATTACCTTCCATACGATCTGGGTATATGTCCACATCGAGTGGTCAAGTAAATACTGCTCAAAATACACAGGCATCCAATATGCTTGCTGCACGCAATTATGATCAACAAACACATTTTTCGAGTGTCCGGCCCGCCAGTGGTGGCGGGCTCTTTAAACAGGAAAATGAGAATGGAGTTTTTTCTGGCAGTCAAGGTATAACTACGACAAACAGTATGGCACCATTACCAGGAATGGATTTCCAAAAGCACCAACAGACTATGCAGATGCAGCATCTTCATCAATTACCAGTAGAACAGAAGTCAGTGGGAGGCGGGTCTCAGTACGGAGTTCCTAGTCCAGACAACAAACACTTGCAGTCTGGAATGCCCCAGCCATCAACCTACAGGTCCACCAGACCTCTTTCACACTTCTCGTCTGGACAGACATCCAGCGTACCTAATCAATTTATTAGAGGACCTAGCCCAGGTCTCGTTCCCTCACCCACTCAACATTATCGACCACCTTCCCGATCCAACCTGCAATTGTCACAGTCACAACATATGCAGATCTCTCAGGCTGGTTCACAACTCCAGGTAAGAATTTAAATCGTTTTTCCACTATATCATATAACACATCTTTTCTTTATGTTTCTAATTAATGTCGCAAAGATAACTTAAGAGTTATATTAAACATGAGAACTAGTAAGTGCATCAATTTAAGACTATTGCGTCCATAGCTTGCAAATGTAGGATGTGGAATGCCCCATGGTGGCTCAGCTGCAAATCTATAGTCTTAGAAGGTTCATTGGGCAGCTTTGTGCTTAACAAAAAAACAATCAAAAATTATTTGAATATTATATTAGTTTTGGTTGAAAGTTGTATAAGTGAAGAGAGACTTATTTCCACGAAGCTTAAATTTGACAATCCAGGCGCTATGATTTGCGATAGTAGTCATTTAATATGAAAGGAGATAAAATTCAGAGTTGGAAGTGATAGAAAATTGTTATTAAATCTTACATTATACGTATGTATACTGAAATATTTTACAAATTTCGGTTCAGTGCAGTAACATAACTGTTTTCAGAGGTTTGATCCAAAATACCTTTTAATACCTGCGATAAGATTACAGGACAGACTAGACCTTTTTTAATAAGTATCAAAGTTTTAAATTTTCTTCCGGAAATTTCATGTAGCTTATAAAAATATGTAAGATTAGAACAACAACTTATAGTTGAAGTATTAGATGGTAGACAAGGTTAGTATTGATATTTTCAGAACTCAGTATATTATAAACAACACAAATCTAATTGGCTGCTCTTACCCTCGCGTACTTTATTGTTGTTTAACTAGATCTGTACCAGAATTGTGGCGTTTACCTTAAACAAAGTAAATTATTTTTTTCGCTTGGCTATAATACTCGGTATCTAGAAGTTCTGAACAGATCTTACCAAAAATCTTCTACAGAAATTACTTATGCTTCGTTACTGCAATTAATACTTAATACTTTTTTGAATTAAAACATTTCTACGTATATATATATATGTGCATGTGCATTAGAAACTTTAAATAAGAGAAAAGATTATCACATGAAAATAGTCTCAAAATAAGAAAGAAGCTGGAATGAAAAAGATTCAGACTTCAAACATATACAATATTACAGTTAAAAGAATAACATATGAAGAAGATGTGTCCAGAAAATAAAAATTTACATTTTGCCAGTTTTACGTTAACATTTGTCAACTGTAATTTTGATTATATTATTCCAAACTATAATACATATATAAGCCAAATATTATTTATATATACTTAACATCTTCATGATGTTAGAAAAACACGTAGTTTCAATGAATCGATTACAGACAAAAATACGAAACCTTATAATCCAAGCGCTTTCAAAAGGGGGACCTTTCTCCATTAGCCCCCCCCCCC